ACACCCTCCCTTCGGACATTGAAATTACTCTAAGCTGCTTCCTTGGCAGCACTTGGGCACACTGCTCACCACCACCACATCCGAGCATCCTCCCTGTTTAGCTGTGATCCAGCACAATTATCTGTTGGGTGTTTCTTTACTGAAGGCTTTCAACTTTCTTAGTGTCCTGTACTTATTATCATCACTTCTGCAATCCTCATGCCAAGGAAGTTATGGACCTCTTGGATCTAATCCGGGAGAAGGCCAGACCATCTCTGGTATAAGGACAGACTGAGAGAATTTGCAGCTTTCAGCCTTGAGAAGGTTCCAGGCATATCTCACGGTGGCCTTTAAACATTTCCAGGTAACTCAGAAGAAACACAGTAACAGAATATTTGAACAGGAGAAGGACTCTGTGGAGGGACCTTTGTACAAGAGCATGTAGTGACAGGGCAAGGGAAGTAGCTTTCAAGCGAGAGTAAGTTTAAAGTAGTCTTTAGAACGAAATTCTTTCCCGTGAGAGTCATGAGGCACTAGCACAGGCTGCCCAATGAAGCCGTGCATACTCAATCCCTCACAGTGTTCAGGGCCAGGCTGGACTGGGCTTTGAGCAATCTGGGCTCATGGAATGTGTTCCTGCCCATGTCCAGGAACCAGATGACTGCTACGGTTCATTCAACATAAACCATTTTATGACTCATGTTGGAGAAGTTTGTGGAGGACTGTCTCCTGTAGTAGCGTTCTCACACAGGAGCAGGGGAAGATCATGAAGAAGGAGGGTCAGAGACGTGCTCAGCTGACTGCAGCCCCATTCCCTGTCCCACTCTGCCACTCAGGGAAATAAGGAAGAGAAAATTAGGAGTGAAACTTAGAGCAGGAAAACATGAGTCGAAGCTGGAAGATGTGTTTTAGATTTGGTTTTGTTTCATGTTCTACTTATTACCCTACTCTGATTAATTTGCTAATGAATTCAACTAATTCCCCCAAATCAAGTCTGTTCTGCCTGTGACTGTAACCTGTGTGTCATCTCTCTCTGTCCTCATCCCATCTCTCAAGTCTTTCATAACATTTTTTTCTTCCTCGACCAGCTGAGCAGGGGAGTGAAAGAGCAGCTTGGTGGGCACCTGGCATGCCTCCAGTGCTAACACACTACACCACATCTCTCCTGGACCTGCAACTTCAAATATTTTGTCATTTTGCTGCCATGAAAATAATAAAACAATTCCATTCATTTCAGTTGACAGTTCTTCCAAGGATCATGACTTTCTCAGGAATGCATAAATCTTCATTAATGTGCTCAACTTTATTTTTTAATTCAGGGTCTGCAGCTGAAAAGGGCTTTGTCTGGGTCATTGCTGTACTCACTTTTAACTACCTGACTCTGGCTGACCCAAGCTCTACTGGTACTGATCTGGACCTTTAATTATGGCATTCATCCACTGGTGATTCTCATATCACTGGTTACTGTGCCATTTCTGCCTCTACAGATACACTGTATCACTTCACCATGTCACTGCTCCCAGTTACATACTGCCAAACATACTCTCCAAGATCCTTATCCCATCTTTCTGAAAAGACAATTTCTTACTATTTTGCAATCTAAGTTGAGGCTCTTTTTCAATACATCTGAGAGCTCAGCCTGTTTCATACGCCATTTACATTCTGGATCCAGATAAGGAAGAAAACTTTCCATACGCTCCCTCCTGCAGCTCACCTGCATTTATTGCTATGATGTATCTATGCAAAGATCTCCACCTCCAAAACCTATCAGATACACCTACCAGTTGCCAATTTTTGTACTTGCTGTTCAACCTTACCTCTTCGTAAAAGAAAACATTCACACTCAGACTTCAACTAGATTCGGCAAAATGTCATAACGTTGCTACAACAATTATAAATTTCTCCAATCAGAAGCACAGCACACAGTTGCTGTTATTTACAGATTTTGCAGATGAATCAATCCACAATGTAACAGTTGCTCCACATCCATTTACACCACCTTGGTGTAAATTTACAAATCAGGTATTTAAAAAAACAGAATATGGAAGATAAAGAAGAGATCTTAATCACCATTAAAGGAATCAATTTATATGGCGCAAGTGATCAACACTGAAGATAACTTGTTTATAATTAAATAAATCAAATAATTTACTTACCATTGGCAGCCTGGATTGAAGCATCTGAAGATCATCATAACCATAAATCTGCTTAAAGACAGATAAAAATACATCATCGTTCTACACTTTGCTCTGATGCTGATCAATTTGTGGCTTTGATCAGAATTTGACTTAGGCCCATTCTATTTTAAACATGTACAGCAAAAGGTTGCACTGTGTTATCATGGGGCACTGTAGCATTTTAAAACTACTAGAACTAAGTGGTCTGTCACTCTGATGTTGTTTCCTGATGACAGCAGTCATCTGAGGAGAGTTTGACTGTCCCATCTTGAATACGGTGCTCACAGATGCATTGTTCCTCAATTTATGAAAAATCTACACGGCATTCAGTTCGGGAATAAGAGCAACAGCCCTCTTTGCTGTAATCACTACTTCAGAGAGCAGCACGGTTTAAGGTTTGATGATGTCCTGGTTCTGGCCAGAACAGGGTTAACTTTTGCAGCAGTCAGGAGGGGCATGCTAACACCTTGGGATTAGCACCTCAGGCCACACAGAGGTGGAGGGGTTGGGGGGCCTTCTTCTTCTGCATGTGTGTATTTGGGCAGCACCAAGTTCCACATAGTGTGCAATCGTGTGTGACACGGTTACCTGTCTTCTACACTCTGTTGTTCGTACAGTTGTTACTGTTAATTTTCTTGTTTCACTGCTGTTTCTAGCAAATTGTTCCTATCTCAACCTCTGATTTTTACTTGTCTGTGCCTCCAGTTCCCTCCATCCTGCCGCAGCTGGAGGGTATGGAGTGAGCAAGTGGCACATGGTCTGGGGTGTTTCAGCGGGAACACTAAATTGCAGAATACCACTCCTAAACCACCACAGCTGACTAGACGACAAAGAACCTTTGGTGTTCCTCTCACATTCTGTCTGATATGGAAAAATTACTAAAATAAAGTTTCTGATTCAAGAAAACCTAGATAACAAAAAGTAAATTGATCCTGGTCAGATCCCAGAAATATATCATTTCAACCATTACCATGGTAAATATATTCCAGCAACACAAACCTAATTCTATTTAAAAGGGCCTAAAGCCTGATAACACTGAAAACCATTGCAACATGCATGTCTAGCTTCAACAGCAGACAGATCAGGTCTGTACCAACAGAACTGCAGTTTACTATCACCAGTAAACCCCTAGTGAATATATTTAATATATTCTTTAGCATCTAGAACAGGAATTCCAGGTGTGACATGTGCCACCAGAAACGCCTTGGCATAGACAGCAGCAGGTCTGGAGGGCCCACATGCACCAAGGGTTAAACAATCAAGGACAGAAACAATGAAACTGCTTACTGGGTAGGCAGGCAGTAGTCCTCCAGGTCCCACAATATACTGGTTATGCAACAAGGGTGGTACACCTTGGGGCAGGTTTGGGGGAGCTTTGCCTGTAAAATCAAAATACACGTAGTTTAACAAGCGTTTACAAAAGAAAAGGCTTCAGCATCGAGACAAGACAGCTCATAAATTCTGGCAGCTACACTGTCTTAGCTTGTCAAGAGCAGAACTATGCAGAAGACTTTTGTGCTGTTTGATGAAAATGCTCCAAATAGCCTGAAGAGTTTAACCATGCCTCAAGGAAAGGAAAAGCACAGGCTACTTAAGACTGAAAAGAGTCCCACCAGGAAACAGCCTGATTTTGCCATGTACTTTCTCCAAGAGGATTACATGAATTACACAAAGTTCTTTCCTCAGTCCTCTCTGGAAGGCAAATTTAGACATCATTCTCAGCCTGGGAGGGCAAATTCTCTCCTTTTATTTTCTGCTCTGTCAGCACATTCTCCCTTATCATCAGCAATAGACTGGAAAGTACCAAAAGGCTGCCAGCATACTTTTTATCTATGACTTACTGCAGCTGAAAATAGCAAAGAGAAGACAATTGAAATGGTTTCAGCTGCCTCCATGAAGCAGCGCTAGGAAGCAGAACAGTGAAAGAACAATGCACTTCAGCCAGTCGTCAGACACTTCATTTACAAGCTATAGAAATGACAAATCATCAAATACAGCATGCTGGAAATACGAGTCAAGAGTGTGGACATCTTAGCGTAGTTATGGCTAGTGAGATGTTCAACTGACAGCCTTGCTGACTGAAATCCTCTATCTCTCCATGTGATCTATGAATATTGCCAACCTGAAGACACTAAGGGAGCTGCCCGTGTGGTAGAAGCTTGTATAGACACACTGGTAACGCTCAGGCCAAGGCTGTTTGTAGTGTTCATACTGCTTGCCATGCTGATAACTGAGGATGTGGTGCTAGTGGCTGAGGTTGAAGCAGCTGAAAAGGTTGTTGAGGGCTGGAGCGATGTCGTGTTCTCAATACTAGTATGCTAGAAAGGAGAGAAAAAGAATGAGGATCACAGAGCAAATAAACCACAGTGGAAGATGCTGGGAACACAAAAGAAAAATAGCAACAATCTTCTAATAGCAGCACATGCAAAAGAGAAGCATTATCTATATACCAAGCAAGCAACTAAGTTGCAAGCTTGTGATTTTATTTTGTGATTCAAAACCAAATATTATGAGAGCTAAATTCAAACAGCTATATCATCACAACATTATGCCACAGTAACTCAAATGTAACATGTATCATACCATCACCTGCATTTTGTCATCAGCTAACCTCTCCAGTGGAGACTAATAGACCAAATTTCAGAGACACTGCAGATAGCCATTTCTAAGTATGGGGTTCTTTTTTATTTTTTTTTCAATAAGTGTGTTATAAGAAGTCCATTTATTTAATTTCATCCCCTCTTGCTGGCATGAAAATTCCTCTACAGCTGTGCAACTGGCAAGCCTCTGTCATGGCTATTCCTGACCTAGTACAAACTGCAACTGGTAAAGACTCTTTTCCCCCACTAGAGGGCTGGCAGTCCTTCTTCCTGGAGGTAAGGCTCTCTCTTTTCAGTTCTTGGGCTACTGGAACACACAGAACATTCAGCAGGTCTTCATTGTCAGATAAACTGACTACATGCCAAACATCTGTTGAAACACAGACAGGACTTACCACATGTGATGTGCCTGAAGACAACACTGAAACAGGGGAGAGGCTGCTCTGATGATTGGAAAGGGAGCTAGAAAGAAATTGCAAAGAATTAATCAAATTATTTTTTCCTAGAACTATTTTTAATTAATATATATGCATATATACATATTTTTATATAAAAACACAGATAGGCAGTAGGACATTAGTTAAAGAAACGAAATTCTATATGAGTGTGTATACACATAAACAGTAGGATATTAGTTACAGAAAAATATTATCTCTAAGGGTGTATACAGGCATGTCTGTGTATGTATGTAACACACACACCCCTACAGGCATTATTCCCTTTAGTTAATATCCTATTACCTTTCAATGAAAAAGTTCAAGTGCAGAGACACTATTACTAACAAGAAACATCTGAAACACCATTCATTTCTATTTTTCAATTTACTGTGTTTTTAGAAAAACAACCGTTACTTCAGGAATTACGTAGCAATGACTCCAAGACACCAAGTCCAAAATCAGAAGTTTCACAAAAATACATTGTTTCTCATTCTTTCCCCGAGCAACTGCTGCTGCCTGCCATGGGGGACAGGTTTTAAGTCAGGCAGTGCTTTGGTTTGACTCACTAAGGTTATTTCTCACATTTTAAGCTGCATAATGTTAACTCTGCCACGGAGAACTGCAGGGTATTTGCCCCATACCTCATCCAAAGATCTCTGCATGTCTCCCTGAAAGGTGACAGAACCTGGTTCTTAAACATTTACACTGACAAAAGTTACACCTCACATTCGAGGCCAATAATGTACCTTACTGTACGCAATACTGTATACAGTATGCAATACACCAAAAGAACATTGAACAAAGGCAAACAAAATGAAGCTATAAAACACATGTATGATTTGGTGCTCAAAAAAGATCCCCTTCATGTGAAATCAGAAGCAAGAGAGATCCTAACCATAGAATTACTTTAGTGCTCTCTATGGAAACAGCCACAAGAAAACACAGCAGTTTTGATATCAAAGCTGAAGACTAAATTAGATGCCCTAATTGAAGGGCAAGCACTTCCGGCAGCTCTTCAAAGGGTGGGACCACAATAAATCATGGCAGCTTCATAGATTAAATTTCAACAACTAAACGTGGGGAGATGATGTTTCTAATGTGAATGGAACAGTTCTTGTTTGGCATATTTACTATTTTATTCAACAAAAAAACCACTAGCATATTTTAACAGAATTAACCATGTCCTAGCAGTGAAATAAGAAAAAATCCTGATATCCCATCATATCAGTTCCTATATTAACAGAGTATAAAGGTGAGTATTAAAAATATAACTCAACCAGTACAGCTTCAGGATGTCACCTGCTTGAGCAGGAAGCTCAAGTAACAGGCACTGAGAAAAATCAGACAGACAGTGAGAATGGGCTGAGTTACACTAAATGTAATTCCAGGAGCGTCAATATGACAGTTCAAAGTACCTTAAGGAAATGTCATAGAAGAAGAAAACAACCAGCTTTCCTGTGACATTATTTCTGCTTTTTAATTTTAAGAAATAAAAATATTCATTAAACCACATTATTTCAAAATTGGGCATGAAATAAACTGATAAGGATTTCATACATATGACACTGAACAAACAGCAGGCAGCAAGAAAGAGAAACTCGGGCAATCAATCTAGCTGATTTAGCTAGAACACTTGAAGCAAACCCCTTGAAACACAAAGTCGTTTAAATACCACAAAAATTTGAGGCCAGCAGCTGCTCTGCCATTAGGAGGCAGCCCAGAGCTCATACTTGGCAATCGAACCCATCTTGTACTCTTTTGAATCTCTCTTCTAAGTGCAGTTCATGTCAGAAAAGGGGACCTGGTGCCTGACAGCCCCACATGGAATCACCCTTACGCCTGCCCCTTCCCCAAATTTGAACCCCTCTCAGTTTATGACAACTCCTACCATACCTGCTTAATTGGGAGAGTGAGCTGCTGGCCAGATCACTGGACTGAGGCAAGCTGGCCAATGCTGCCACGTGCTGAGATGCTGAAGGCAGAATCGAGGCTGTGGTGGACACCACACTGGGCAGAGAACCAGCTGAAGGTAGTGAAGGAGAAGGCTCTGTCTTAGGTGCTGGAACTGATGAAGTAGCTGCAACAAGTTAAAAAGGAAGCATTCAAAGACAAATTCCAACACACCTGACATCCCAGCCTGGATTCACCAGCACAGTAGTATTCTCCTCTTGGTTTACAAAAACCTGGCCATTAAGGACTACTAACCATATCAAGCAATTTGACTATTAAGGAAAATTCAGAGAGCAACTCAACTATTATTTTTTCTCTTTAAGCTTCTTACTTACAACAGATTTATAATTTTCCCTGCTACACATGTAGCAAACAAGAGTCTTCTGCACTTCACCTACCACTATCTGGACCACTAGCTTTTGCTCACAAGTAATTTTAAAGTTTCTTGCTTTCGGTTCAGAAAACAGAAGTCATTTGTGCCTTTCCAAGGCACTGTACAACTCTAGTTTTACCTAGAGCTTTGTTTCTTCATCCCAACCTACACAGCACCTTTGGCTACACAGAGTAAAACTTATTTAACACAGATGTGCCTTTCCAAAGGATCATTAGATTGTAATAAGACACTGAACAATTCTAAGGCCCAACATGATTCCCACCTAATACATTTATCTCTTCTCCTGCAAAAGAAATATAAAGAATTAGAGGCACTCACTCACCAGTAAAACTCAGAAAAGAGCCGAGCCCTGCCCTCTGCTGGGCCACACTTCCTTACTGCAGAGACTACCCAGTGGGTCATCACTAACTCGCACTGCATGTGAAGACATTTTTGACTGGTCACCAAACAAAAGTCAAATACACATTTGGAAGCCAGACATCAATGCCTTTTCACTTTATTGGTTTGGTTTCCTTGCTAAACGATCCAAGGCAGGTGGGCTGCAGTGCAAACAGAAATCAAGAGGTCCTGGCCTTGGCAATAAGTATGACAGAGAAGGAAATCCAAGTGGCGCACACAGTTATGAAGGAAGCAACTCTATCACCTGATACCTCCTCACAATATTCATATAAAAAAGGAGTAAATCACATTTAAAATTCTCAACACACTTAGAGCACGGATCCCTTCTGAAAGTAAAAGTAGATGTCCTCGATATAAGGGACAGAATCACCATCTTAAGGTCCCTTACAAGGTGCCTGAACATAATGTGCAAGGCAAAGAAAACATGGACACAAGTAGGATGGTCAGAACTGTAACATATCAGTTACAATATGAACTAAAGGTTTAGCAAACACAAGATCTGGATATTAAAGGAGAGCAACTGCAAAGACAAGAGATGAATGACTAAGAACATTACAGCACATATGGAAGGTTAGTACTTTCAGAAGTTGAGAGAAATTCAAAATCATTTGGATGTATGAAATAGATTCAACATAAGAAAACTGATTGCAGTCTATGTGCTTGAAATACAGAAATAAAATCCAAATATGTCCTCAAAAGAGAACTGGCATAGGCAAAGAGATTAATAAAGCCATTATTGTGTAATATATAAAAAATAGAAATTTTCAGATCTGTGTTCTCCATAGCAAAAAGACAACTCCTGTAGCAAATTTCATAAATTCCTTATTAATGCTGCACATGAGAGTAAGAAAGCTATATTTATTTTTATATATATATATCTCTCAGACTTTAATATGATAACTCTTTGGGCATATAGACTCCTCCTGCTTATTTAAATTGAACTTGGCGCAAACAAAACACTGTCCCACTAATGACCTACCCGAAGAGATGTCTAAGAGGCAGTTAGACCTAAAATTGGAGTGTCAGAATTCCAAAACATGCTAATTCACACAGCAGTCCTTGAGAGCCTTCCACAGAGCAGTACATAAAGGTCAGAATAGTAAATACTATAAACTTTAATTACTTTAACTCTAAGAAGAGAGCTGTAGGGGTGCTACAAGTCAATACTACATTAGAAACAGGCCAAGATAAAGTAACAGTAACACCTGTACCAGAGCCAGTACTGAGGTATTGTTTGCAAGGTACCAAAGGACATGGTAGAGGGACTCTGTCCATCACCCTTATTCCCCAGAGGCTTCTAACAGGGCACAGGCAGCACTACACCCAGTAAGAGGTGCATTCAAAGAATGTGACTTCTGTTTCATTACAGTTAAATGCTATTTGCAGCTTCTCAACCGAGAGCTGCAAGAACTGCTAAGAAATTTTATATTAAATTTGAATTTCATATTTTTATTTTACATTACGTAATTTCAGGCAGGTAAATTCAAAAGAAAAGAAGAAGCAAAGCAGCTTCTCTAATTCTAAGGCTGTTTAGGTTTGTAGATTTAATAGAGCTGCTTCCATACTTCAGTTTTAGTCAAGAAGCAAGCAGTATCCTATGCAAGCACAAAATAAACTCAGACGGGTCAGCCAAAAATTAGTCACAGAAAACAATATAAAACCTTAAAGTCAATGTCACTGTTATACTTGTGTGCACAGCAAGCATTAAAGAAAGATCAGAAAGTCCTGCACACAACCAAACTTTGTGAACTTACTGTCAAGGGTTGCCTGTGTTCTAACACTGCTGTGTCCGTTCTGTAAACAAAAGAGAAATGAATGAGTACATCAACTTAGACGTGTACTAAATTTTCAGACTGAATCACACATCGAACATGCTTCATGCAAACTTCTATATTCATTCTAAATTGAAAGACAAGGCAGAAAATTAAATTTTTGCTGCCTTTAACAGAACCACATAAAGTTGCCTCAAGTGCAAGGTGTCCTGAACATACAGAACCCCATACACTGCCCATAATACACCCATCAGCAGAAGAGCCTCCCATGTACTGTATATAACAAACTTCAGGTTCACACCAATATGAAAGAAAGAATTGCATTAACATATAGGAAATGGTTGTGCTTTTGATCTAATGTAACTCACAATTTTAACTATCCAAGTTACACAGAGACGCCAATTTTTTTCCATTGAAAGATAAGACTTGAGAGGCACCAGTTGTTTTTTGGGTAACGCTGGAGTACAGAAGTGGATAGTCTATGCTTGATCCTCACCAGTACATACGAGCTAGTGCAGAAGACAAGTGTGACTGAGCCAACACATAACAAAGGCCAGAAGTAAATAAACTTACAAACTCTCACAAGTTCCTTAAACATTTCATAAATTCTCTTTAAAAAAACCCTACATTCCATATACAAAGAGAGCAGGTGATTTTGAGTCTGCCAAGAGAGATTCTCTCCGTCCTATATTTGACTTCTCCCTATGCTTATTAAAATAAAACGTGACAATAATTCCCACTGGTGTTTAAATCCAACAGAAAAATAATGCTGAAGGGGCCAAAAAAGGTTTGGGATCCGTTTCCTAGGTGCCATATAAATTTAATAAATAATGAACTTTTGGATAGAAACTGTCAAGTTATGGCAGAATACCATGACTAATATTTACATACAAAGATAGCTCCCTTTTAAAAAGCTTCAGAGAAGGAAACCAAAGTGGAATCTTAAATGCCATCACAAGAGAAAAAAGGTCAAAATACAATTTAAGATGTCAAAACCAATAAAATCACAGGCTCTAATATCCCAAGTACAGTACTGCAAAAAATAAAACCCTACACAGTAAGAAAGGAAAAACAAGTAAGAGGGTGGACTTGAGAATCCAAAACATCACTTGGCTTGGTTAAAACATTAACTTCTCAGGGTAATAGAAGCCTAGCACAGATAAGAATGTTTCCCCTTTTGAAAGATCTTATTTCTGAAACTGACTCACCGTAACTGCAACAGGGGTTGAATCAGACGGAGCCATGGAGCTTTGGTACGCTATCCTACTATGCACAGAAGTCTGGTCATAGGAGGAAGTTGTTACTGGGCTAGTGCTCTGGGATGAGCAGGTCAGGCTGGAAGAGCTGATGGCAGAGGTTGTGTAGGTGGACTCCTGTACTGTATTGGATATTGGCAAAGAGGTATTCAAAGGATCACTGGAAAAAGTAAAAATTATTTATCATCTTGGTAAATATCTCAAACATCTTTATGAAAATTCAACTCCTGTACAGTAATCTAGAACTAACTTAAATATGCAGACTAATCTACACTATTAATACCAGAAAATATAAAAATGATCCAAAAATTTAGATAATATTGTTTTGATCCCCAGTAATCACTGATTCAAAACCACCAGCTGCACTAAGCACCATTCACTCTCCTTGTGCCAGCCCAACCAAACCTAGAGTTTACACAAGAGCACTTTCCAGTCACGTTAATTCTACCTTCTTGAAGGATATATTAATGATTATAATCTCTCCTTTCATACAAGCAGACTGATAAAGTGTGACAAGAAACACACAGCCTTTCTATAATAAAATTCTAATGTTACAGAATGAACTATGCAAAGAGCAAAAATATTTAAAAACATGCAGGAATGTTTTACATTCCAAATAGTTTAAATCATGTATAAAACTGAAAATGAATGTGAAAGTTTATTTTCACTAATATTTCTGAATTAAATTCAGGAAGCTTTCTACTGAAGCCGATTTTTGAATGAATAAGGAAGAAAAAACAGATTACTGGTACATTAGTATTTATCACTGGCTGTTTTAGCATTTCAGTAAAAGCTTCTGCATACAGAGAGCTGAGATTCTTTTCTCATTGCATAAGAGCATCAGACCTGTAATCTGGTGCCAATCTACTAACACATATGTATGGTACAAAGGTCACCTCTCCTGAATCAAAAGGAGAAAAGTGTGGGTTGTGACCAACAAACCCTCAAATGTATCTCAAAATCAGGCAAACACACATGAGAAAGCAATTCTATACAGGGTAGCTTATTAAAGGGCTATTTATATTCATGTCATCTCCAGCTTCACATCCACCCATCCAGGGAGATTTTGATTATCACTAGAGAAGAAATTTCTCATTGAAGATGCAACCCACAGAAAACACTTAGTCTTACAAGTCATCACGCTTTCCCCTCCCATTGCATGGTAACTGTGTCTTGATGCTTTTGGCAAAGACTTGACCTCTCAAGAAGACATGTAAGAATGCAGGAGGGGAACTCACACATACTTTACAGATTTTGAGTATAAGCTATTGTTGGTCGACTGGCTGGGATTCTCACTGCTTGAAGTTGATCCAAACTCTGGGAGCGTAGGCTCTGATCCAAACTCAAGAGCTCCAAACTGAACATTTAACCCTGTCACATCTGCTGATCCAGGCATCTCCACTGCAGAGGCAGGAATCTTAAAGAAAGGAAAAAAGCTGTAATTGGTCTGCATGCACCATCTGTGTCAAATATACTAACAACTGAAATCCTCTCATCTCTTTAAGTCTTCTTTGGTTACTGCCTCAGACCATGATGCTAAGCAGAACTGTGACAACACTTTACATCACATAAATTAACTATGCTCCTAACAACCTGAAATTAATTCACTGATTCTGCCCTGATCTGGAGCTGAAACAGTAAGCTATGCTGATCTAAAATACTGAAGTGTCATATGTGTATGTCTCTGCCTCAGCCAATATTCATATTGTGGCAAAGTCAATCTGAAAATTGCTCAGCAACAGGTATTTCCCACATAGATCAACCACATATGTCCTTGGAAAAGACATCACCACTGTATTTTGGACATAATAACTATCCAGCTTAGGATGTCCTGATCTGTAAACCTGAAGTATACCTAAGTTTTTGCTCTCCTTCTCCCTAGCAACTTTTATACAACAGAGAATCATAGAATCAATTAGGCCGAAAAAGACCATTAAGATCATGGAGTTCAGCTATTAAACCCCACACTGCCAAGTCCTAAATCACATCCCTAAGCACCTCATCTTCACGTTTTTGAAGCAGTTCCAGAAATGGCAATTCACCACTTCCCTGAGTAGCCTGCTCTAGTGCTTGACAACATTCTCAGTGATTATATACTTCCTAACATCCAATCTAAACCTCCTCTGGTGCAACCCGAGGACACTTACTCTTGTCCTATTGCCTGTTACCTGGGAGAAGAGCCTGACCTGGCTACAACCTCCTTTCAGGTAGCTGTAGAGGGTGATAAGGTCCTCCTTCAGTCTTCTTTCCTGCAGGCTACACACCCCCAGCTCGCACAGCCACTCCCTGTCAGACTTGTGCTCCAGACCCTTGCCCAGCTCCACTGCCCCTCTCTGGTCTCGCTCCAGCATGTCAACATTTTTCTGGTTGTGAGGGGCCCAGAACTGAAACCAGGGTTCAAAGTGCCTCACCAGTGCTCTATACAGAGGGTGATCCCTGCCCTGGTCCCACTGGCCACACTATTGCTGATACCAGGTTTTTTTATGTTTTAACGTTTACTAAGGACAAGTCACCACTCAACTACCCACCTTGGATGCTGGAGCTATCCTCCGTTTTGGTGGTTTTATCTGTTTGTGCTGGGTCTGATGGACAGTCACTGCCTGGTTATCCATAGATACAGTGGGGAGCTGTAACATTTTGCTAACAGCTGTAGAGGTGTCCACTGGTGATGGCTCTTGGAGTTTCACTTGGGAGGAGGATGACTCCAGCCCAGGAGGAGGAACAGGAACCACCTGCATTTGTTGTTGCTGTCGCTGTGTCAGCTGGCTGAGAACTGGGGATGGGTCAGGCTGGGATTTGAAGTCTGGTCAGTGTTGGGAAAAAGAAGTATCAAAATTAAAGCACTGAACTCTGTCCTTCACTGTTCTACTCTTTAAGGAAAAATATGGGTGACCTGACACACTCAACAGTCATGATTTTATAGCATGTGCAAGTCTCTTTTAGACATCACACAAGTTTCACACTGAACATTACCACTGTAACAATAATGACAATAACTGATACCTTAAAGAAACAGCTGTGGGCAAGCATTATTTAGCTTTCTCCAAAAATATGAAAACAAATGTATCTATACAGTCACAAAATTATCACACACTAGTCCTCAAAACCGGTTACAAGTTATTTTAATCAAAAAAGGCAGGTTTCACTGTAATTAACTGTGCTGACAAAATGTGATTACTTCCAGGGGGTAAAGAGTTCCAGCTCAGGGGTATTAGGAGTTAAGATTCCCTGCTCCTACAAAGGAGATTTTCAACACAAATAGAAAGTCATTTACAATCTTAATATGGCTGAGAGTCAGAGAGCTGCTGGACATGGACAGTTTTACCCCTTTTGTATTTTTCAGGTGCTGAAAGCCATGAAGTGGCCCAGAGCACTGGTCAACCACCATAACAGATCTACAACATTTTCAGTGTGAAATATTTTTATTCAGTTGGCAAAGTCCATTAGAAAGCAACTTAAAATATAAATAAACATGGTTTTTTTCAGAACTTCTGCATGTCAGTGATAGCAACTGCTACTAAATTGGCTGCTTATCTAGACATAAAAACATACACATACATGAGAGATACAAGAGCTACTCTCTTCACAGTGAGAACACTGCTAGGAAAGACGGTGCAGAAACCTAGTTTGTAATTTTCACTGTTTCTACTAATTTACTCATTACATTAAAAATTAATAAAATTATGAACAGACAAAACAAGTAACCTGCATTATTCTCAGCACATTAGG